TCAACTGTTTCTTGTTCACTCATCTGAAAAAATTCGATCAATTGTACACCAATGTTTTTATATGAATGAAATGCATAGATACACATATACATTTCGTTTTCCGACTGACGAATTGAATAGTCTTTGGATACGAAAAAAAAACAAATTTTATTACAAAAATAAATATAAGATATTAATTTTTTCACGGTATAGAAATAAATTACACACAACAACAAGACGAAATAAAATATCACAATATATAACTTATAATTAAAGAGAAATTTTTATTTGGTTTATGGATCTTTTCGACGTTTGAATTGTGTTATAAGATCCTTGAAGAAAAAAAATCATATATTTAATTAAAACGAACAATGAACGGAAGTTTTTTTACTTTGGATATTTTGGTTCCAAGAACAAGTTTCATTTTATTTTTTTGTTCTTCTTCTTCTTGTTCACTTGTATTTGATATTTCGTTATTATTCATTGTATCCGAATTATATAAAACTGAATTACTTGTTGATACTCCTTTTCCTCCTGTAAGTGTTGTTGTTGTTGTTGCTAATAATTGTTGATTTTGTGCACGAGTCGATCGGCCAATAAATGGTAATCTTAAATTAATATTTTGTCGAATAGCTTGTGAAAGTAAAACTGTTTTAACATCAGATTTTATTGCTAAAACAAGATCATGCCAACTACATGTTAAATTTCGATATTCAAGTGTTGGAAATGATATATGTGCATTTTCTAAATCACCAATCTTTTTTTCTTTGGTACCCTGTTTAATTTAAATATATTTTTTCCGAAAACAAAAAAGATTTCCTTACTCGTATTTTATATGAAACAATTAATGATACTTCAGGAATTTTAATATATTGAAATGTTAATGTATTTTTAGCACGTTTTTCCATTGCATCAAGATCTCGAATACTGAAGTAGAATAATGATCGTCCAGCTAATAATTCTTCTTCACCCTAAAAATAGAATGAAAAATAAGATATATGTATAGAGAGTTGTAAATTGTATAAAATAAAGTTATTTTAATTCGTATTAGTGAGTGATTCAACACACAGAGATATAAGAAATAAAGAAGATTGAGGTGCGCGTGGAAACCACGACTGAAAAATTAGTTAAAGAAAAATAATACCCAACGAATATCCTGTGATAAACGACGACTGAATCGGCGTATCATTCCCTATAGAAGTAAATATTATCGAGGTATCTTATCTCTTTGTTTTTTCACACTATTTCATTCGTTTTACAGAAGAAAAAGATATTATTATTATATTCATACTTCGCTTGATTTTCGACGTTTTAAAGAATTTGATATTGTATCTTTAGCTGATGATTTATTCGATCGTTGAATATCAGAATTTTGTTGAGCTTTATTAGGAAAAAGGAATGCCATTAACATTGAAGAAAATCGTCGTGTCATTTGAATCACAAGTGGTGCTACGTTGATTTCTACAGGGGAAAAAGATTTGATTATTAGTATACAAATGAAATCTTCTTTTTTTTATTACCAAGATGTTCTTTTACAGCAATACCACCAACAGATTCTCCTTCTTTACAATAAACACGTATCATTGTATGTTGTTGTTGACAATTTGATGTTAAAATTGTTCGATATCGATCATCAGGTAATAAATTATCAACTTGAGCTTGACCAATACTAACTGAATGTTCATTTGTACCATTTTCAAAATAACGTTTTGTATACCTTTTATAAATATATAATTATTTTATTGTGTTTAGATACACTACAATGTAAAAGTCTTTGTCCTTATTATTTCACATGTTTTTCAGAAAGGTAAGCATCGCACTTTCATCGATTCTATCCTATTCTTTGTGCGGAAGTCTT